AAATGTAGGTGATGCACAGTGCAAGGAAGTCAGGATCTTGGTTCAAAATGATGCCCAACTACAGGCTTTATGGGATGGTTGGTTTTTAAGCACTAACACCAGCCCACTGTTATTAATTAATTTACATATTCAAAAATGAAGCCCCTTTTTTAGAGATTCTTGTTAAAATGGTACATGCTAAGCCCTTCAGTACAGTCACCATGTACTGCTGACATTATCATACTGAAAATAGCTGTATCTGGGGCCTGTACTGATTGTTTAGGGTTATAGAACTGGTTGTCTTTCCTCTGTAATCCCCATAAGAGGGAGCAGATCTCGAGCAACTTTTCTAGTGTCTGTAATAGTCTTTAGGAATGTGGGTGCCTGGTATTTCTGCTGTTCTAAAAAAAATTATGGACGAAAATGCAAGGAGACTATTGAGTCATTGTACTGCAGTGAAAGGGCTGTAAGGCAGATCAGGACTCTGGGGGTTTTATTTAATTTTCCCACATAAATGCTGATGCATGTTGTTCAGCTAATTCTAACATCTTAGTATCCTATTTTGCACAAAAAGAAAAGGGAGGAGAAAAATGTTTCATTCTTAGTCTGAACTTTTTTGTGTTTCATATTAGAAAACTGAATTTGGAAACATTCTCTGTAATTTAGTCGTGTCAGTGCACTGATCCTTTATCATTATAAGCCAAATAGCCTATTCTGGTTAGGCTGGGAAAGAATCTTCCCATGAGGAATGATAGCGAAATGCAATACATGACTAAAAATCCCATTTTAAAGATTTGGTTAATAAATAGCCTTTTGGAAAAGGGAGTTGGTATAAAACACACCTTAGAAGTGAAAACCATTGTCACAAGAATTCTTCTTGACATTAAGAACCTGATTAAGATTGCTGGCAACGTTCTAGTGGGTCAGAGCTCTCCTCTTGCCTTTTGAAATAAGTGAGAAAGCCTCTGTTCCCAGTTTTCACAAATAACTTGTAGCCGTTGATTAGCCCAATGCGGTGGGTGTTGCTGTCGTTGCGAGTTTCAGGTGGGATCTCCTTAAGTGTGTGTGTAAAGGGTGGTGATTTTTCTCTCTGCTAGAGGATTGAGCATCCTATTCCAGAAAAGATCATTGGTGTCCCATGCTGCTACAGGTCTCCTGTCCTCCTGAAGCAAAGCAATCCCTTAAATGAATACAAGCTAGATATTTGGAATATGCCTTTATCAGAAGATCTAAGCTAATAATGCTGTGCAGCTTACAAGAGGGCTTTCTGCATGGATTAGCAGACTGCTGTTCATCACCATGATCATAACTTCCCTGATCCATGAACACACATGTGTACACATACACAAAAGGCTTCCGTGTTTAGACAGAATATACCTAGGTGACAGCGAAAATTCCCTACTCCTGGCTGTGCATTGGTCTTAAAATACCTGTAGTTATGCTATGGTATAGATACTTTTAACAAAATGGACTGGATTTTTAGCAAATTTGAAACTGTTGGAGGTGGGATATAGTTTAGAAAGCATGGTAAGAGTCAAAACAGAATCACTTGAGACCTGCCCAAAGACAGGTACTACTTATGGGTTTGAATATTTCAAGCCCCCGTTTGCAAAATGGGCTTTGAGCCGAGATTTGATTTGGGGAACCTTGGGTCCTTTTGTGCATCTTTGCCTGTTGACCAAGAGGAGCATTTAAGTCTATCTTTACCTTTCTAATCCTGTTAGAGGGGGAAGTGGCGACACAAAGCGTCTCTGGTGCATGTTAGTGACTTGGCTGCCAACACAGAACCAGCTGTTCTTTAAAATAGTTTTACTTTAGCATTTTGTTGTCTTTTCTCAAGATGTTTTGCCTCTTGCAAGGAAGCAGTGTGTGGTAAGAACAGTTGATGCAAAGCCCATAGCAGAATAAGCCATCCAATTACTTCATGTCATGAGTTTAACACTGCCACCTCCATCAATCTCACAGTTTTGTTTCGGCTTATGTGTATTGTACTTAGTGGAGTGCATGTTTCAAGTCCCATGTCTTAGCTGGATGTGTTTATTAACTGCAGCTACTAAGTTTCCCATATGTGCTGCTTTTATCTGTGTGAATCATAAAGGAAATCGGAAGTGGTCTCAGGGTGCAGTGTCTGAGCCACATGTTGCTAGTGATGTGTACGGACAAAACCAGGGTGTCTGGTACTATTGGTTCAGTCCCACTTCCAGAAGTCTCCTGTTTCTTACAAGTTATTCTGTCCTTACTTAAATTACTTAGGTGATTTATACCTAAATACTGTAATTGTAAAAATCACTTGATGTCTGTTATGTTATCTTTCCTTTTCTCTGCATCTCCATGGCTAGTTGTTCTTTTGGCTTGGATTTTTGTTCATGCCATCTGTTTCTGAAGCTTATTTACTTTAAGCTTGCTATGTACTGGGTTTTCAAGTTGTGTGTAGCTGAGTAAATGCAGCTACATGAGTTATGGATGTCCAAAGACGGATATGTGTCATGGTGAGGTTGCTTAGTATTGCAGCTGCCTTAGGCTTCGGTCTTCCTGTCTTGAGCTGGATGTGCACACTCATGTTTAATAGTCAGCATTAAATTCCCTCTATATGCCATGAGAACAGGTAAATGTTAAATGCTGCCTTGGCTTCTTCACCTGGACTGTTGGCAGTTGTTTGGTTTCAGGGAAGGGGAAGATGAGATCAGCTCACATGACCCACTTCAAAACAACAAAGATGAGGCCTGGAGGCAGATATCCTCTCTTTGCTTCTTTTTTCAGCCTTTCCACAGCAGCGTGTTGGGTTTTTTGATTCTTTCATTTCTTACAGATGCCCAGCACTTGTCCTCTTTCATTTCCTTCTAGACCAAAGTTGCCTGTTCTGTGTCTTGACAAGGCAGAATTGCTTTACAAATCACTTTTGATTTGGTGCTATTTCCAAAACAACTTTATCCTTAGTATTCCTCAGCAAGTTTGCCCAAATGCACAGTGAAATCCGGGAGAGAAGAAAGCTGTAAACCAAGATGTGTGTCTCATTCAGTGACAAAGATCACAAATTTTCTTCTGACTCATTCATCCAACTGTTGACATGGCTTAAAAAGCCTGAAGTGGCAGCCCTGAGTCAGAGTACAGCTGTGTTTCAAATGCATTTGATTAACTTGACTCTTGACCCTTAGACCCTGGATGCATGTTGTACAACTAGTGTAGTTTGTTCTGATATTAACTGTTTAATGAACTGTTAAGCATGTTTTCTGGATTTTTTTTTTTTCTGGTGATAATCTTCTTTTTACACAGTAAGTGGGGCTTGTCATTTGCATAGGAGTCAGAACAGCCCTTAGTATTTACCAGTTGCTGTGGCAAGAATAAACTTTGAGAAATGGTGTTCGTCTCCTTTCTCTGTGCTTCTGTGTGTACTGAATGCATGCAATACTGCCAGAACTTTGAAAAAAAGATTCCGCCCAGAAAGAAACCAAACAGCTGTATTGTCTAACCTGAACTCAATGTAAAGACCCAGTTATGAAATAGAAGGCTTATGTGCCTTTTCTATCCATTTTTTTATAATACAGTTCAATGCTGTCTGGAAGACACCTATACACATGTGGGTTGCCCCACCCCTTTTCATGCTTGAAGTATTCTAATACTGCATAAAGTGTATGAATCAATGTGTCTTGCAACACATTGAACTTTGTGGAGGATAATGGGATTTTGTTAAATGGCTCCTCCCAGTTCCAACTCGGGGATCTCGGTGGAGTCTGGCAGTTCTGCCTGAAGGCTTGTGGCATGGGCTTTTACCTTCACAAGTGTCAACCTGCCCGAACTGCTCCTGTCATCTGGAGGTAGAAACCTGCTGGAGAATCTTGTAGTTAGTTTTACATTAAATTTACATTTGTTTCTTACGAGAGTGCAGTTACTCAAACAGTAACGTACTCTGACTCCAAATGTGTCCTAGTGATCTGGCTAAGCTGAACCTGTGTGTGAAATGGGCCAGCCAGGTGCTAGCTTGCATTGAGGGACGATGCAAATCCTAGTGGAAGTCTCCATTAAGTAATAACCAGTGCTGTTTAGGAAACTGGGTGCCAGTTAAGCACTTGTCATAATCCAGAGGCAATAAGTGTTCCTGTGCACCTCTCGGTCCTATTGAGCATGCTAGTCTAGACCCTGTTTGGCAATTCTGTATTTGTTCCTTTGTAATTACTGTAATTGTAGAGCAAGCTACAGTGAGCTTTTAGGATGAAAGGGTATGTGGGACCAGGTACATCTTGCATTCCCAAGAACTAAGGCTCAGCATCTGTTGCATGATGATATAATTTCCTCTTAACCGTTACACTGAATTGTATATATAAATGCCTATTTTCTTTTTGCAGAGGATGCTGTTTTTAATGGAAGTAGAAACTCTATACTTGCTTAGAGGATAGAGAGTGCAATTTCATGCAACGGCTATGCTGATCTAATAGCTGCCACTGCTACAAAAGTACACGTGCTTTGCACTGTTGATTTTCTGAGCTGTTAGAGGGAACTACCTTGGCAGAAAGCTTATTAATGTTTGTTAATTTGTACAGAACTAGCCTTCTGTCAGCCTGACTCCCTGAATCAGTTTGTTACAGGGTGTTGAGTGCCTGAGCATGTCGCTGGGAGCAGGATTGCCCTTTCAGCTCCTGGCCATCTGATAGTTGAACTGTAACATGAAACGCTGAGATAGACAAACTAAAACCAAGGTCAGCCTTCACCTAGTAAGAGCTCCATCAAAACACAGTTCCTGTTACATAGAAGGGTGCTGCTGGATTCTGCTTTTCTCCAAGTCCTTGTCCAAAATGCTCTTTGGGTGGAACATGACAACAGGTTTCCCCCACTGCTGCCAAGTCCTCTCAAACTGGAGTGGAGAAGAATTTCATTAAATCCAAGTCCCAAGTATGTGTTTCTCTCTTGATGTTGATGACCCTGTGTGCATGAGAACTGCTGACCTCAGAGTCTGCAGAGCGCATGGATCTGTTATGCCTTGAGTATCGCCTTGCCTTCCTTCCCTGCTAATGATGCTGTCTGCCCGTGCAGTTCCTGAGGGTGACGAAGCAGTACCTTCCCCACGTGGCCCGCCTATGCTTGATCAGCACCTTCCTGGAGGATGGCATCCGCATGTGGTTCCAGTGGAGCGAACAGAGGGATTACATTGATGGCACATGGAACTGTGGCTATTTCCTGGCCTCCGTCTTTGTGTTCATAAATCTCTTCGGACAGCTGAGTAAGTGGCTCTAAGGCTGTTAAGGTGGATGCCAGAGCACTCCAGTGTGTCTGCCACCCTGGCTCATGTAAGCACTGTGAATCATATAAGCATGGGACACCTCGCTGATTTCTTAATAGCTATTGACAACTTAGAACTGATAGTACTACATGGGCTAAATGAAAAGAACTCTTAATTGACCTGCTTCAGCCTTTCCTGGAAGTAGTCTTGGAGAATTTCTTGTGACACGCTACCTCTGAGTCAGAGATGCCAAGAATCCGTTAGAACAATCTGTTTTCAATTCTGTACATGCATCTATAAACACATACCATACTCCCTGAATTCTCTAAATGAAATACACGTACTTTCCTAAACAGGGCAGTGTTAAGACTTTCTCAGCCTCCTATTTTTGTGGGATTAATCTCAATGGCAAAGTCTTATCCTGCAGTTGGTACACTTAAGCCTGTGAGATGTGCTTTTGTCAGATTTTCAAAGCACAGAAATCAAAATAAGCTGAGAAGCAGAGCTTCTATATGTGTGCTATGTGGGCTTAGGGTATTGGAAATGGTGAGAAGTAAAAGTGTTTTCAGTTTGTATTATGTCCCTGATGTACTGTTCTTGATTGCTCTGCCAATTTCTTGTCTTGTGTCTGGGTTTAGATTTTTCTTACCCTCATTTTTGTGTAGAATTAGCTTAGTTTAATGTATTTGCCAGTCCTCATGTCAAAGTGGTAAAGGCTGTCAGTGCTTTGTGATGAAGACTTGAGGAAGGATACAAAACAAAAGCTTTCAAGAAAGAGGAATACAGCATGTTTGCCCTAACAGTTATTTCATTTTTTTAAAAAAGGAAATCCATGATCAGTTGAGTTTAACTTGTTTTAATGCTTTAACACTAATAGCTGCGGTACAGTGCTGTTTTGGGGACTGCATTCAGCATGTGCTTACCCATTGTAGAATAAAATATACTTCTAGGTTCTCAAACTGATTTGTCCCCATGTGCTGTTAAAATTTCCTGCCTGATGTTCGTCATGGCACAGTTGAAAGAAGTCAGAGTGTGCTCAGTTCAAAACAAGTTATCATTCCTGCAGCATCTTTTCCTGTGCAAGCCAGAAGTGTAACTGTGTTCAATTTCCCCAACTCAGGCGGCTGTATCCTGGTGCTGAGTAGGAACTTTGTGCAATATGCCTGCTTTGGACTGTTTGGAATTATAGCATTACAGGTAGGAGGCTTAAGTCTTCAGCCCTTCTAAACCATATCTTTCAAATCTCCTCTCTTAGCCCCAGTACTACCAACATACTTAAACACATCTCGCAAACCTGGAGTTTTTCTCCACCCTGGCCTAGTGCCAGTCCTCCATGGTATTGAACTATTTTGCTGCTTGTGTTCTGAGGTGCCCAATAGACCCTTGGTTGTCTTTGCAATTAGTCAGCTGGAAACATTGTTTCAATACTTGACCTTGACCAATTTAGCAGAAGTAACTTGCAATTTACCTGTATGTCAGTAACATGCCAAATGTGGAACTTGCAGTTGCTTTGGCCTTCAGCACGCAGCTTTTATAAAGGACTGTCTGCATCAGATCCTGGCTAGTAGCATCCCTCCTGTTCAAAACCAATGAATTTGGGGGGGGGTAGGGGGGGCTAAAGCACAAGTCAAATTCTGGCTTCTGTTTCTTGTTTTACACTGACTCAACTGGACTGTGTTGATGTAAGCTACCTTGTTTCGTTCAGTATAACATACTCATAATTGACTTCTGCTATGGATAGCACAGGCTTGAGATTATAACATAAATTTGGAACTTTGGTGTAACTTACGGTGTTTTAACCTGTTTTATTCTTTGCCTAGACTATTGCATACAGCATTCTATGGGACCTGAAGTTCTTGATGAGGTATGCCTACTTATTAAAGTTTTTTATCAAGACATAATGAAAACTGTCTGTCACTGCCACTTGCTAACAGCAGAAATGATCTCTGTACACAGTATTTACTAGAAAGATTTTACCAATGATGCATTTACATTAAACCAGAAATGACAGCACTTAAAAAAATCAGTAGAGTCTCTGTTAAACCATAGATAGTAGGCTCAGTACTGTGGAAGGGAAAAACTAATCCTAACCCACTAGGATCTAAGTGCTTCTACTACTAACCTCCTTACTGAGAGCTGACAAACAACTGTCTAGACTGGATCAGTGAGCTGCTATTATTTACTACATGGATAAAATAGCAACTATGACTGAAGCCATTTTCCGAGAAAACTAAAGCATGTAGATACTAGAGTGGTTTCTGGGATTTTAAATCTCTAACACCTTCTCTAAGTAGAAGACAGGGTTCTTAAACATGAGGTTTCTTGTCAAATCCTGAGTGATGGCTGGCTGTTACCTTTTCAGCCCTCTCTGAGAGGAGGGCACAGGGCAGCACAAGAAAGAACTGTACTCTGGGCTTACTACAACCCTGTGAATGTGTAACTTCTTGTAGCACTGTTGCTGTTCTGTTTTCTCAAAGCAACCTCTGAACTACTTTGGCATATATAGCTGAACCTGAGGTACAGAATAACTTCCACACAACTAAATTCATGCTCTAACAGATGTTAAGCAACTGAGCCTGAGGTGTGGGTGCTGGACTTCCCTGGCAGGCTGTACATGTCTGCACAGGCTTGTGTAAATCGTTGTTGTGTACAATGCTGCTGTTCCAGCTGTGAAGTCTAATGCAGACATGCATTGCAAGGTGCAGAGTAGGTCACTCCTCACTACATGCAGATTCTTACTGAGTTGAAATTGTCAGATAAGACTTCAAATCTATAGATCAGTGCAAACAGTAGTAAACTGCCTTTTTTTGCCGTTTCTATCTTTCTGTAGGAATCTTGCCCTTGGGGGAGGCTTGCTTTGGCGGAGTCACGCTCGGATGGAAAGAGCATGTTTGCTGGTGTCCCTACCATGCGGGAAAGCTCTCCTAAGCAGTACATGCAGCTGGGGGGCCGTGTGCTGCTGGTCCTCATGTTCATGACACTGCTACATTTTGATATGAACTTCTTTTCTGTAAGTATCTGCGTATAAACGTATGAGTTAAGGAAATAGAGTATAGTACCACTGCCCACATTGGCTGCAGGACCCGCTCAATGCTTATCATTTAAGACTCTCTTTTAGTAGAATTAATACTCAGAAAAAGTATTAGATCATCTATGCCATGACAATCTGTTCTGCTAAACTTACCCATGCTCTGTTCTGATGTTTGTCTATCTATTTAAGAACCATATATAAGCTTGTGGGTTTGGTGTGTTTTGGTTTTTTTTCCTTGCAGATTCTGCAGAACATTGTGGGCACAGCCCTGATTATCTTGGTGGCAATTGGCTTCAAGACTAAGCTGGCTGCCTTGACTCTAGTCATCTGGCTGTTTGGCATCAACATCTACTTCAATGCCTTCTGGACCGTCCCAGCCTACAAGCCCATGCACGACTTCCTCAAATACGATTTCTTCCAGACCATGTCTGTAATTGGAGGGCTTCTCCTCGTGGTTGCACTGGGTCCTGGCGGAGTCTCCATGGATGAGAAGAAAAAAGAGTGGTAACAGGAATAGCAACACTTCTTGGGACATAACATTAAGTCCAGAACTGATTCTTTATGGATTCAACAAAAACTGCCAGCATTTTACACGTACATGCCCCCTTCCTATTAAAGGCACAGATATTTTGAATTTGATTTACAGTGGCACCAGTAATATAATAGATAAAATCCTGTTTCTTCAAGGAATGTTGCATAGGCTTATTCTAACTCCTAGATTTGGAACTAACCCAAGGAACTTGCATTTTGCTGATGCTTCAGCAAGTTGCAGTAGAACGGTTGCTGTCTTTCATGTCAGCAATGTTTTAAAATTTGAAGTACTGTGAACTGATACAGCTGTATCATTGTGTGCTGTTGGGTTCTAGCTATAACTAAAAAAGTGGATCCCCTTTCTCACCCTCATCAAAACTGTCTTGTGCATAAGGAGTTCCATTGCTGGTTATAGCATTGCTTATCAAGGTGGAAAGCAGCATCGCAAAAAAAAAAAATCACTGCTATTGTGCTGCTCGGAGGCCTGTAATTCCATTTTATTTAACAACACGGGAGGTCTTTCCTGCCCCCAAATAGAAGGCAAAAAGAAAGCCCTGTAAGTAGTTGTACCCCCCTCCAGGTAAGAAAAGGGAGAGGGTTTCTAACATGTCCCAGTTCTGCTCTTGAGGGGAACAAGGGAGAATCCTGTATTGCTAATCAGATTTCAAGAAGGAAGGGGGGAAGCTGTCTCTTCAGGCATAGAATGTTAGATTCTGTGAAAATTCTGTGCCAAAAGAACTCTTTATTCAGCATTCTCTCCCCAAAGTTGCCCCTCCTAAATTCCCAAGAAGGGAGCCAAGTTGTGCTGCAGGTTCCATAATAAAAGCTCCTTTCTGCTATTAACTAGCTTCCATTCATATATGCCCCAGATTCACATCTGAATTGCAGGTTATCAGCGAAAGTGTCTTCAGAATTACAGAAACTCCCCTTTTCCCTGCACTCAGTACATGCAAGATGAGAGCAGTCGGTCTTCTAATCTGTAGTCTTTGCTTCATAGATTCACTTCTGTCAGTCTCAGCTGTAAAAGTCCCAGCTGATGGAACAGCAGAAGAGCTGGGGTGCTGAACTCTCGAGTAGAGCCCCTTTTCTCTGCCATCTTGGACCGCACCGCAGATGTGTAGGGAGGAAATGTGGAAGTCAGCTGTGTGCTGCCGTAGCCCCAGTTCTCAACTCTGTATGCAAACGGTTATAGCTGAAGAGTGCAAGTGCAAAGCCTGCGCGGTGAATAAGCAGCCAGGGATGTAACTTGTATGTTCTGAGGGAGGAACTCCTCAGCATAATGGTGAGGAGAGATGAAGGCCTGGTTTTCACCTCTCAGTGCCACGACCTCTGTGCCATGAACATGCTTAGTGCTGCTCAGAGGAGGTATTTTGTCCTCTGCTAGTCAACTAGGTGAACCTGTTTCACTAGATCATGAAAGAATTCTAGAAAGCATGAGCCCTAACAACTTGCTAACATTACATTGATTCCTTGCACTGTTGTCTCCCTTGCGAAAGCTGCTCAACTGTTTGTTCAAGGAGTAATTCAGCTGAACACCTCCAGCAGGAGCTATTTACCAGGGACTCCTGGTAAGGACACTAACCTGGACAATTCAGCTTAATGGTTGCATTTTAGGAGGGAAGACTAGGCTGAAAGAACTGATGACAAATAGAAGAGCACTGTTGAATGTTAAACCAGTGATTTCATCATCTTAAGGGGAAAATAGCCAATGTAATAGCAAGATGTGCTGCTGCTGAAGGAAACAAGTTGGGATGGGAGGGGAAGCCAGCATTTAAGTTTAGGTCACATAGGTGGCTTGCTTTTTTAAATGGGTTTTGCAAGAGAAGTTTTCACCTCCAGTGTTCACTGTGCCTGTCTGTAACAAAACAAACCGGTCCTTTCAGTTACAGATAGGCAGCACAGGATGCTTTTGCTCAATTTCACTGCGGGTCCTAGAATGGTTTTAGACTACATCAAGGCAGCCGTTTTCAGGTATCTTAACTGCTGTTGATGGCTGTAGTATTTATAAATGAAAACAACTCCTGTAAGTAGCCCTTAAGTTGGCTTTCTCAACTTGTGTCCTGCCTAACTAAGAAGCTGGATGATGGACTAGTCTGAAATATTGACCAGTTTCTTCTGTGAAAATCAAGTCCCCTTTCCAACAAAAGATCCCAGAAAAGGAACTGATACTGTCCCTTGCAGCAGAAGTATTTTGGTACTAAAGGGGCACAGTTAGGTGGTGGGCATTATAAGATACTTCTAGGCAGCGCAATATGCAGACTTGCTACCTGTGAGTCCTGATGCAGAAGACTCTGGTTTCCTACATACACTGCTGTATTCATGCATCTCCCAAAACTACAGTGACCTCTCCCCATGGCTGGGAAGCTCTCACAAGCAGGATGTCAGCTATCAATTGGCTCTGCAAAGTGTTCTGGAATTCATTCTGAATATATTTTTGCTTTCTATGTGGAAAAAGAAATAAGTATAAATTCTCATTTTATGCTGTATTTTGTACCTTAGTTGTGTTTGAAAATGTTTTGATTTTTGGAAACAATCAAAATAAAACAATGGCATCTTTGTATCCACTTGGCGTGTGTGACTGGTGACACCCTACAGGTAGGCTACCTGGATATGGTGGTTAGTGGTCCCGTCTGCTTTCTCTTCTGCCCACCTGCTGAAACCCATCTTTCCGTAAAGAGGTCCTGGACTGCAGCAGTTGTCCTTCCCTGGGTGGCTGGGGGGCGTGGCTTGAGGCTGTTGGAATACAACTTAATTCCACCCTACTATTCCCCTCCCCAGCTGTGAGAGTTATCTGGAATGGACAAACACTTCTGACAGTCCTGTGCACCTCTAGAGCTGTTACACAACAGGCTTCAGGCCATGTATTTATCAGAAAATTTATTTGCTGTTGATTGCTTTCTTGAAGTTCTTGGGTTTTCGATGATGACTCTTGAATTTCTTCTTTAAAGGGCCTGACTGTTTCTGTAGAAGAAAAAATGTTAACCAGCTTATTTCCAAAACCCAAATCCAGCCCTGCCCAAGCCTAACTTAAAGAGGAACTGAGTGTCACCTCCCTTACCAACAGTGAGAGAACAAGCACAGCCCTGCTCGCAGAGCCAGCCAGGATCTTTCCTTGCCCTCACCTGCAAGTTAGCATCCCTTTCTCTGGCAGGCATGTGGCTCCACTAGACACAGTGACAGTCTCCCTGCAGAAATGAACCTAAACATCCAGCCTTAACTTTCCAGTTTGATACGGTTATAAAGGATCCAGCCCCTTCCTCAGGGGCTGCCACAGAGAGTTAAAGGTTTATCCATCTTTTTGTGTATGTAACATCTGCCTGCCTCCCCAGCTGAGAAGGATCAGGGTGTGTCCTGTGTGGCAGCACCTGGCCAGCTCCTCAAGAGAGCCAGAAAAAGGGTCTAGAAGGACCCTGTCACTTCAAAAAGGTTTAACTTGTGGTGTGTGTGTATGGGGAGGAAGATTATAGAACTGACAAGACACCCTTCAGTCTCCCTCTTAAAGAGGGCGTACAGCAGGATCCCACTGAAGATGAGCTATTTATACAGGCAAGAACATCCCTGGTTACCGCAGACAGGATAAACATTTACCGGTGGAAATTCACACCTCAGGATGCGAGTCTGTGGCTGGCACACAGGGAAAGCCTGTTCTTCTGAACAGCTTTGCACCTTTGGCTGGTTCTCAGATGGGAACACATCAAACACCTACAGGATGGGATCCCAGTTCCACAATCCCCTGCTGCTGCATGCAGCAGCGTGACTCCCACCTTTCCCCTTTTGTTCCCAGCTGCTCTGCTGACATCCGTTCTTCTGCTGTCCTTGCTGTTCATGTCACCATTCTGCTTGGCCCCATCATCTTCGCTGTCTGTTGCAAAGTCATCACTGTCCTTCGTGGTTTGTGGAGCTGCTGGGCTTTTTTCTGGGAAGAGTGCAGCTAAAATACAAAGATTTAGCTCAGAATCAGTTCCCTGTGCCTACAGGCTCTGCCTCCCCCTAACTTTACTTTAAGGGCATCTTAAAAGTGATTTGCCAAGCTGCTTCCAGTCTCTGCACATATACGTGTCACTACTGAAATTCTTGGGGAAATAAACACACTGGTGTTTTTTTAGAAATGTGCCTGCTGCTCTCACTAGCCCCGTTCTGGGAAGCGTTCAGCGCAGGCGGTTCTGCGGTGTTACACCTCTGCCCTCCTACAGCAAGGCAACGTCTCCAGATGTAGGTCAGCAGAACAGCCTGACCAACTTCTGTCAGACTCAAGGACTTGCTAAGAAATGAGGAAAGCAGAGATAACTAAAGAAGCAAATCCCAGTGGATCTTGTACCCCTCCCCACACACCTTATGTAATCCAACTCTGGTTACCACTTAGTGATAACTGCTATTTCTCATTTAGTGGTGATAAGCTTTTCCAATACCCAAGAACCCCAAACTGGATGGAAGTCATGTACCTCCAGCACGTGAGCAGCATGGAGCAGTGTAAAAGAAGCCAGGAGAAAATTAGCCAACAAACTCCCTTCGGGACATAGATGGCACTGACATTCTTACTTACGTGGGTACAGGTCACTCATGCTGTCATCCGTCTCCTCTCCATCCTCATCGCTGGACTTTGGCTCCCAGAATTCCTCTTTTCTGTAAGGCTGCCTGCTCCCGTTCATTTGGTCAGCAGAGTGCTGCGTCCGCTGCTTCTTCTGTCGCAAGCAGGCAGGGACGTACTCCACTCCTTCCTTCTGGCACTCCTCATCTAATAGTGAGAGGCATCAGGCAGCCCTTAGCAAGGCTACCCAGTCACCTGAGTCCTTGTCATTTCTAGCTTATATTAAATGCAACTCAAAAGTATGTCAAGCTCCAACTCTAATATACATTCATGTCATCTGCAGCGATACTACAGATCATGAAAGGCGGGGAAGATATTAACACAGAGACATGTGAACCACCCTCTTTGGGGAATTTTTAGAACCACCCCTCTCAAGTAAACATGTTCCAAGGTATTTGCTAGAGGCAGATTTCTCCCTACATCTGGAATCTTCCTTCCTAGCTGAGGAGCACACACAGCAACAGCAGTACATTACTGTTAATCTAAAGGAAAGTGACCCCCTCCCTTCACGTCTATCTACTGGAATCTCAACAGCTCAGGGAAAAAAGTTGTCTGGTTATACCTTCAGAACAGCTACTTACACGTTTTTAGGGCTTTCTGATAGCGCTTCCCTTGGACATGACGCAGCACATGCTCTGGAAATTTGTTGATGTGTCTGAGAGTGAGCTTGCAAAACAGCTGGTGTCTGACAGATGCAGAAAGAAAGAAAAAGCCAGCAACAGACTTTAAGTATGCTATTACTTAATATCTTTTCACTTATAAATACTGTGCTCAAAGTTGATAAACACTTTATAAAGACTTTCCCAGTATCCCAAAACTCATAAAGACTCAAGAACTTTGTAAAGCTCCACCACTTTATGTCTGAGATGGAACGAAGTGTAAAGCATAACACACAGGAGGAAGAATACATACAGATTCTTTGTGCTGGGCACTATATGGGGCTCAAACTTGCCATAGTCAAACTCTCTGGCTGTCTTTATCAGCCGCTGATACTTCTTGCCGCTGGTGTAAGCCCTTTTTTTTCAGCCGACATGGCATCTCATGTCCCGTCAGCCTGCATCTCACCTAAAGAAAAACGAAGTCTGGTCAGCGAAGCCCAGGGGATTACCCCAGAGCTGGGGAGGGCAGGAAAGACCTAAAGCTCCCACCAGCCCTCTCCTCCCCGGCTCTCCTCCGACTTCCACAGCGGCA